ATATCTTATCCCAATATGAAAAGTTGATTCACGTTTTTACAAACTTCAAGAAATGTGTATCTTACTTAAAGTGGCTTTAAGATTTACATTCAATTTCAGTCCTATGGTTAATTTTTAATACTTTTGATTAAGAACCAACTTATGAAGAAATTTTATTCAACTTGTGTTTTGAGATAGTCTTATTTTCATACACTTGATAACTATATTAAGACTTTTTTTTTATTAAAAACATTAACCAATGTAATTTATCAGATTTTTTTCACTTTCTGAGAGTCTCTGGAAATACTAAACTTCCCTTAACGCTTGCCTTCATGGTATAGTTGGAAGTACATCTATCGGGAGGTCTGAAGTTGGAATCCCGCCGAGAGCCTGCTGATTTATCATGCTTCCTGCTCTGAACTAAACCTCATGACTTTATGAAGTGAGCTTTACAATATGTTTTTCACGCGCGTGGAATAGTGCAATGAGTCAACTTCTGTGCTCGAGTACTAGTCAACTGCTTGTCATGGGGAGGCTAGAACACATAAAAAATCTACTTGAAAATATTGGGCGAAGTCAGAAAAGCCTGATCTCGAAGTCTTAGTGGACAGAAAGACTTATTTACATGACTTTCATTAGAAGCTGGGAATCATTAAACTGTTTGCTGTAGATATCAAATGAAGGTAAAGATATACACTATTTAAAAGAGAAGTTTCCTGACACAAGTGATTCTAATTTAGAACAAAAAAGTAGAAATTTTTATACAATAATCTTTGGTTGCAGTATCTCACTTTAGTTTTATTCTTTCTCTCCAGTTGGGTCTCTTAAATGAAGATTTAGGAACTGCTGATGATTAGTACACAAACACAAAAATAAAATAATAGCCAAAAAACTTCTTCAAGCTGTTTTCCTTATGAAAAGGAGATGCAATAAAAAATACTGATACGTGATTGCTAATTACTTTTGGATTCCCGGAGGAAAGAGCTGATATATCGCCTTAAAAGGGAAATTAAACGAATTAGTTTCATTAACGTTTTCGAGGTTTTCGTTCCCCATATGCAACGTGATTATGAACCCTTTTTCTTGAGAACTTCGTCCTCGAAAGCATCCCTCCTAAGCTGATAGATAGTCCTTGCTGTAGCATAATTGATTAAAAAAAAACACGTGTCATCATTTTAATTTATATATTCATAATGTATTTTTCCATCAGAATTGATGATTTTAATTTCACATATTTGGAATGTATTTTACAATAAAATGAATTAACGCTGATTTTTGAGGAATGTTGTAACTTCCTGTGGTGTCTTGATTTCTTTGAAGTTGATGGGTGACAGTGAAACATGAATGTTACGTTTGGATTCAGCAGTGTGAAACCCGAAATATTACTAAGAGAGGGTTAGGGGAAGTTCCACATGCGTTGTTACTAAAGAAAAAAAAAAAAAAAAAAAAAAAACAAAAAAAAAAAAAAAAAAAAAGAAAAAAAAAAAAAAAAAAACACTATTTGAATTTATAATAGGTGTAATAAATATATTTGCTTTATTTCGTTACACTTTTTAATAAGGAAAGTTTGATTAACTTTTCTTATTAAAAAAGTTAAACATAACATTGATTGAACTTCATAGCTGTCAACTCAGTGAATGGAATTTTTAATAAAAAATTGGTAACTGGTGTATTAGCTGAAAAATAATAAATTTTTATATTTAAATATCAAATAAAAAATTATCTTATACACCGTGTTGCCATTTTAGTTTAAGAAAAGAAAAATAAATGCTTAGATCCAAACTTGGGTACATAGTTATGTTTTTATCTAATTATAGTTAAAAATTATACCGTCAAAACGATTTTGTTATATTTTAAAATATAATTTTATACAAAATAACATAAAAAGTAGCAGATGCACACGAAATAATTAAATTCTAGGAAGTAAAGAATCTCCTATTAGGATAAATTTTCTGAAATTTTTATCGGAGGAGATCATGATCATTCCGATTAGGTCTTCATTCTGTTCTTTCCACATCAACGGTCATGTTTGCTTAAAATATAAAGTAAACTTATCGGGATGTTTTTCTTTGGTAACTGTATTAAACCACTCGCACAAATAAAATTTTTTGGCTTTTAGTTTTAAGTAGTTTGTTACTCACATCTCAAACCAGCGATGTCCTAGATCTTCTCCAAACCTGTCTCTTCGTGTTTAAAAAATCCATTACTCATGTATTTTATCCATATTTTTACTTCCTATTAACTCTTGAAAGCTGTGATATCCACGAAACGACAGTTATCTGGGTTATCGCAGAGTACTTTTGGGTAAACATTGACGTTGTTCGCTATCGCTATCGTGGTGTTTACTGATTACTCATGAAGGATAGACACTGCTCGCGAAACTTTCTGTTGTGTGGTTAAGTTTTTTGATAGGGCAAGAAAAAGAATTCTTCTGAAAATAGGATATCTAAGTGAGTAGCTTCAACTATGATTAATGGGATATTTCTTTTACATTTAATATATACACATCAAAACCGCAGGTATATGTGTATGGGCTCATGCAAGTGCTTTACACCTTTCTTTTTGGCATATACGATCCTAATTTTTGGAAGATGTAAACAGTGTAACCATGCAGCCAAGTACAAAGCGGCGTAGGAGTTACTGAACAGCAAAATTAAACATACTTTTTGTTACCGAAAACTAAAATTTAGAGCTTTGCAGTAATTTTTGGAGCTTATTTCTAATTCATTTACAAGTATTTCGAATCAGACAATGGTTTTCAGTAATCGATTTTTATTTATTTAAAAACACATTCAAATAAATACAGTTTGTGAAAATAACCTGTACATTATAAGCCCCCTTGGACGGTAAAACAGCAGATGCTGACTGCTGCTCTGTAACCAAGGGGGTGAATTCATTTTCTGTGTAATATCAGTCTAACCTATTGCGGTGCATCCTGGGCGATGTTTCTAGGTGATGTGTACTGAGAGGCCAATTTCAAATACGTAGATATATAGCATTAGTAAAACATAGTACACGGTTGTTGAGTATAACATCAAGAACGAGATATACAGACAGTGTCAAAATTTCGCAGTTAGCTCTTACATATATATAGAACATGATTTTTGACTGTAGCGTCATGATTGTTGAACATGATTTCCATTTTGAGGAAAAACTCAAAAAATTTTGAGGAAAAAAGTCCAGAAGATATGTAACAGTTTAAAGTTGTTCCGGATACTTTTTAATTAGTTGTAATTTTGGATAATTTCTACATTTTTTTTACCTAACATGTTTTCTAAAAGACTACATACTTATAATTTATTCTTATTCAATGTATTTTGAAGTGCAGAATTACTCACCAGTTTTAAATTTTAAAATATGGGAAGCTATTTTTTAGCATTGTGGTCTTTTTCTAGATATCATCTTTTCAAAAACTTTCATCACGGATTATTCGTTAATGTTTGCGTGAAGCTTGTTAAGGAAACCATTTTATATCAGCAACGATATGTACATCTCCGTATAGCTGAATTTTTAGACAATTTGGTATAGCAAATTTCAAAATGAATTGTTCTGTCATGGGGGGCACATACGCGTGGAACTGTGGAAGTATAACAGTGAATAAACTTGCTTTTTTATAGCGTGGACAGAATGCACAAACACGTTATTTTGGCCTTACGCGGTGTCTAGACATCTGTATTGAACATCATTTTGTGAAGTTACTTGTCAATGAAATAACTTCATTAAATATGCTAGAACTTATGTACGGAATAGCAGCTACATGCATTGATTGAAAGCTTATTCATCGTATGGCATGTATGTATGCAAGTATGCAGCCTTGTTGAAAGTTAAGAGCTTGAATTCTGTTCATAGTTAACGTGAAATTTATTCTGTCACATTGCTTAAATATTTGGATGTTTTTTGTAAGAGTTATGTTGTAGAAAGAGATGCGCACAAGATGACTGCATCAAAAAAGTTTTAGAAATTCCATGGCCGAAAGGTATCGGAATTCTCAATTATTTCTATGTTTTGCTGTATGGCAGAAATATTTAATATTAATTTAGCAATTTTCTGAAATTTTCCCACGTGTTTTCCACCTTCAGTTTTCTCCTAAATTGTTTCATTATGCAGCGCAGCAAAACTTTCTTGTATATCTGTTTCCCAGCGAAATCGGTAACCCTAATACATCTCAAGATACTCTGATCGTCAAAACCAGCGCTGGCAGAGCAGAACTGCATTTTAATCTTTAGGTGCATTAAAACATAATTAACTGTAAAATAAACATGTTTAAATTTTGCTACAGGAATTCTGCGGTTGTAATTTTAATGCGGCTTAATGATTTGGTTGTAATTAAATGCATATTAATGAAGGAACGCTCGATTAAAAGATAAAACGTATGAAAAAAGCCTTCTAATAATTTAACTGTAAGTTGCTGAATAATAATTAATATTTTAACGAAGTAATTTAAAGAAAAAGTAAATGCAAACGACAAGCATGAAAGTTGAATAGTATAGAACTACAAAAAAGGGAAATTTACGTCTCTTAAATACTTCATATTAATCAAAACAAATAAACTGAATTGGAAACTGAAATTGGAAGACAATTGGTAGATGATAAAAAAGTTTTAAGAGTACTAAAATTTACTAATTAATTTAAGTAGGGTAGCGTAAAAACCACATTAGCTATTGTTTAGGAATATTATTACTCTAATGGATTAGTTTGTTTCATTGTGTCTATTGAAATTAAAGATATAAAGATATAAAAATATGCTCTCTCTCTCTCTATATATATATATATATAAGTAGAAAGTAGTAAACGAAAAAGAGAGACATATTTGGTCAAGAATTTTGCGCATTGAGCTGCAAAATTTTTTAAATATTTGCACAGAAGAGGAAAGTTCAAAATAGCTAATGCTATTGTATTGCATTAGCTATGTTATATTGTATTGCATTAGCTATAGCTAATGCTATGTACATTTGAAACTGCAGTTGTATAGATATTTCTTACATCAGTAGCAAGTTAAAAAAAATTTTTTTTAATTGCAGGCGCGTCGGGAAAAGAAGCGAAGCCATTGAGACTGAACTGTATTAAGGTAATTTAATTTGATAATTTTATTAATGAACTTCTGATTTCTGTCTCAATTGTTTTCGTTTGACGAAACGCGCTAATTGCGTTAAGCTTAATTCGAGTTTTTCACGCTTTTCTCTTGATAAGTCCGTGTTAAACCTCAAGTTTGGCTAATTTACCATTTATTGCAATTCTTTGTATATATATTCTTTACCTTTGAAATGTTTTTGATTATTTGCTTGCATCATATATAATTTTTTATTTCAAATTAATATTTTCTAATCTCTTTTTGTTTTTGAAGTTTATATCGTTTTGTAGTTATTACTGTAGGTTTTTGCGCGATAATTTTTACTGCTTTAGTATTATAATATTGTTTTTACTTGGTGTAACGTTTTTACACTGGAACTGCAGTATCAAATGTACTTTTAAACATTAGTTACTTTGAAATTTCCTCTTCTGTGCAAATATATATAAAGACGCAGTTTTATTTATTTCAGAAAATTTCCTAAGGAGTCATTTAGATTTTTTATTCCTTATGAATTTTCTTTTCTTTTTTGCCAAATACTAATGTTTTCCATTTATACATTCTGGGGAAAAGCTAATTAACTTTTTTCACAGCTGATTCTTCTATAAGCAATATATTCCTTAACCTTAGTTATCAGCTTTTATAAGATACTCATTGATGTTTTTGGTGAAGTTTAAGATATGCAATATAAACCTTTGTTATTTAATTACTCCCGTGTAACTCATTGATGTTTTTGGTGAAGTTTAAGATATGCAATATAAACCTTTGTTATTTAATTACTCCCGTGTATATATTAAGAACGTTCGAGGGAATAATATTAATTTTTAAATATTAATAAATATTTCTAAATTATATTTTTTAAGCTATATTACCCATATAAATTGAAAACATCTGTTATTGATATTTTGAATCAGAACTTGTTTGAGACAAAAATTACGTTTGCCATAGTTGCCTTAGTTGCGCTTAAAATGTAAAGCATAATTACGGTCATGCAAATGATTGTTTGAATGAGTGCATAATATTACGAGGAACTTGTTCGGAGCATGCATGTATGCATGCATATTGGGAAGCAATAATAAAGTAATATTTGTAATTGAATTATGAAATTCTTTTCATTGTTAACGTAGTCGCATTAACAGAGGACTAAGAATGCTATTTATTATGCATTCTCAGGATAACTATTTCTGAATGTGTTAAAAATTAATGAGTAAATATTTAAATAAATTTACTGGTCTTGCTTCATTAATAAAAGTTAAGCATCACGAGCATGTTACAACTTTTAACTCTTTAATATTTATTTTAAGAGTATTTCTTAATAATTTTCGTTCCTGAAAACAAAGAAATATTATAATGGCATAAAAGAAATGCTGCCCAATTTTTTAGGCATGAATTTCAAGTACTTTCTATTTTCATAATTTTTATAAACTAGCAACAATATTTTTAAAAATTTCAGTTTTAATAATAAAAGCATCGAAAATATTCAATCATTCGTCATATTTGTGGATGACGTTTACACCTGTGTAAAGAGTAAATATTACTCAATAACCTTTACGATAAAAAATAAATTACAGGATGAAACATAGATCTGTCTAACACTGAAGCACCTAAGGCCATCTGAGCCCAGGATGATGGGTTTGCGTGAGTCAGTCCATGCTACTGTATTTCATCTCTTAATAATACCAAGTCTGCTACACCCTTGTCTCTATAATTTCTTACCCAGTTACGCCTGTTATGCAGGTGGAAGCCCTCAAGCATCCTGACATATATAACTACACATCTACGAAGGATAAGATTGGATATCATAATGTATAACCGCCATATGTTATTCGTGCCTCAAGTGGTTCCACTTCAGAACTCTATTCTGCAGCCCTGTCAAAGACTTTCTTAGCTCTCGAAAACCCTTGAGAAGATGGAGGGTATGTTAAGGGTGGATGTGGGGACAACCCATCTTAACAATGTGCCCTCTCCTGCTTGCATTCTTTTGGGCTCGCATTATAAAAAAAGGAAAAAAAAAAGTGCCATTTCTTCTCCACCACGCTCCTATACGTGGCAAAAGGTTACAGAATGTCGCATTTTGTTTGCTGACGTAATCTTAATTCAGCAAAAAATATTGTGTATTTTCATTTACTCTTATTTTCGCACTTCCTAAACGTCTTCCTTTAGCAGTTCTTAAAATGTATCTGCGCGAGGATACTAAAAATACATTAAATATATTATTTTTATTTTGCTGCTTTGGTCTTACCATTTTAAGTCATTAAAAGTGTTTATTGATACCATATAAATTTGAATTTTATTTGAATGGACATCAGTGAATCGATAAATGGGAGATATAAAATGGTGCCTAGCTTACATGCTAAGCAGTATGTCTTAAAAATTCACGCTGTATGCTTTAAGTAATACCGAAGCAATTGCAGGGGGTAAAACACAGCCTTAGTTGTGATTGCATTTTGTTGAAATTTTTATATTTCGAGAAAGCTAATATTTAATGTCCCAAGGGAAAATGCCTATCATTTATCTGAAAAATATATCCAAATGCTGCGAATATTGTAGGGTCATTCAGTCGTTATTATTTGGTGGTGGTGGGGGGATGCTTCGAATTTTTCAAATGAGATTTCAAACTTTTTTCTAGTTCCGTAAGAACACGTTTTTGGGTTTGATTTACGTTCTTGCTCAGATATTAATCAAATAAATGTATTTTACGTGTATCTAGAAACGTGATTGTTATTTGTATGCATTTGTATTAAAATTTCTAAGGCTGCAATGGAGAGATCTTTTATGAAAACATATTGCTTGAAAGTTTGCGTCCTCCTCACCCCCAAAATTCATTCCTAGCGCTTTTGTAACATACTTTAAAAAGTTAGAGTAAACCTATCAAGCGCATTTCAAGCGTTTCCTAATGTAGAAAGAAGTTTTTGTGCACTCTCTCTCTTTGAAAGTTTTCGGAATATATGAAAGGATGCGACTACAAAGAGGCTCTAACACAGCATCTATTTGAGCACTATGAAGTGCACTATAGGATATGGGCAACTAATGCAAACATGCGTCTGTATTTACCAACTTTTTTTTAGTTTCTTGTGAAAACAGATTTCGTTCAATGAAAAAGACATTATCGGCTTATTTTTGAGCTTGCTGAAAAGACTATAATTAATGATATGAACTTGCTCAAAGTTTTTGACTGTTCTTTTCCCCCATCATTCATGACTAAAAATACTTTTGTGTGGTTGCGTGTTATGTTTTAGAATTGGTGATATTTATTTGTTAATCATTCTTCTTTGAATGGAAAGTATTGTAGTTACGTTTTCAATCAGTTAGCTATTTCTTTTATTATGACTTTCAGAGCATGCAGCTAAATAAATAATTTATTTTGATGGTTTTTGTGATTCTTTCGAAGACAATTTTTAATTTGAAATTCTTAAAGGTTTTCTCCCGTTCTGTATTTAAGAACCTTCATATCTGTGTTCATTATTTCTTACATATCAGGTTTTAGGAACTGAATCTCTCAAATAGTTTTGCTGATAGTTTGCTTTGTTTCCCACTTTTTAATCAGAAGAGGCTTTGGATTATATTCTTTATAGCTGTGTATTGAAGATTAAAATGGAATACGATTAAGCACAGATGTATTATGCTTTTGTTAACATATTTATTTATAATAATTTAATTCAGCTTTGTTCTCATAATATAAGTTTTATAGTAAATTTAAGCCTTTCTGGGATACTTTTAAGCATAAATTGCATATTAATAGCATATTTGCGCCTTTCTAAGATACTTCTATTACTTCTATGCATGAATATTCTGTCTGCATAATCATTTAACTATGAAATATGTAGCTTGAAATGTGTAATGATGCTTTCGGTTCCCAAAATATAAATCCTATGATGTACGTTTTCAAATTTATGGTATTTGATCCTTTTACAGTAAATGATAGAATAAAGTGCACTAAAACGAAGGAAAAGAGTGCTTTCCAATGTTAATCTGATTTATGTCCTACTTGCGTAATTCGTGTTTCCCGTTTCCAATATATTGCTTCTTCTTCAATTAATGTAAGCTGTTTAATATTTCTTCTTGCGCTTGAGATAAAGGAAGAAACGCTTTTTATATTAAAGTTTGAATATAGGTCTCCAATGAGAATTTTCGAAATCAATTTTAAACAAAAAGCAGTGTATTTATATTTAATATTGGGCAGATTTTCACTCTATGTATAACTAGCATCCAGTCATTTTCTCTGTAATAGCTTTTAATTTTTCATCTGTCAAACTTCTTCCCTCTGAGGTGAATTCATTCATTGTTAGTTTATTGTAAAGGAAAGGAAAGGAGAATATTAGATGTATTCATTAAATGTTACAGATGAGAAATTTCGTAGTGCCAGGTTGGTGGAAATGTTTTTTGTTGATAAAATAGAGCAATTTTGAATTAGCTTATATTCTTGATATAAATATCCTATTTTAAGAAGGACAGGTTTCGGAACTTAGCTCCGGTTGACCAGAGCCTTCAAATGATGGAGTTTCATTTACACTCCCTCTTCGACATCAGTATTAGATTTCACAAATTGAATGCAACATTTTTAACTGTTACATGATGGCATTCTTACTGAATATCTTTAAACAGTTACTGTGAATCAGTGCTCAGAATTATGAGGTATTTCTTTGTTGGAGCGTTCTCAGAGGTTTGTATAGATGTTCTTTACTTGAATTTCATTTAATATAAACAGATGTTATTCTTTCTGAATTTCAGCTTGATGAAGTTTTAAGCATTTGGCATTAAGTCGTGGATTTTTAAAAATCATCTTAGCAGTGGGTCCCATGCACCTCCTGTTTCACAAATCGATGTTTCTAACGAAAGACAGGATAGTCCGGCCACAAATAAATGGCATTCATATTGAATGTTAATATGTATAACTCATGATTTTGCGACTACCTTTTGATTAGGATATGTAGAGTAGTTTGCCCAAATTTGCCGATAGTTTCAAAGGATCAGTACAACTCGGCGCCAAGTAAACGGGT